CCACAAGTAACTTCAACTGTTGTAACAGATCTCAATGACGAAAGAAGACTGAGACAACACTGGTGAGTAGATTCGTCTCGACACTAGAAAACTACCACAGCAAACACAAATTCGAGGTCAAACGTAAGTTACCTCAGGGCCGATCCGTTTAGAACACTCTGTGTTTCGCTCTCGTGCTGAGTTCGAATCTAAGTGCTGAGAACACGGAGGGCAACGGGTACTTGTTCCCATCCCTGCGGCCGTACCAATCTCTCAACTGTAGGGGTCAAATCATGCGGGCGGGGACACCAGCATAAGCCCGCGCAAGAAATTAGCAAACTGTGGCTTCGATAATTCTGTTTCAATGAATTACGTTACAAGCCAGTCTTATGAGATGTGAGAGTTTTCATTAATCAACTGCGTCACCTAGTTATCTCGACGCGCCTGGACTCTCCCTACTACCGTGGTTTTCACAATCTTCCACGGTTAATGTATTTTGAGCTGCTGTATTAACCCGCCCCTCCCCCTTCTCTCTCACATCCGCCTTTTAGTCTGTCCAGAATAACAGGTTATGGCCGATACAAAACGGTCCGATGTCTCTACGCCCACGCGCCAAACCTCCCTCTTCTCAGATTAAAGCTGTGATTTCTTTGGCACAGATGCCATTATTTCCAAACATTAAGAGTATAAAGCCCAATGAATATTGAACAGGAAGCCACATATTCCCATTTCCGTCCCCCCTTACTCTAGATTCGTTTTTCGTCATTTTCATTTGCTTCTTCTGTCCTCAATCAAATATCTCTTGATTATTTTCATGCTATTCCCGGGGGTTTCCTCTTCTCCAGGGGCGCCAGCAAAGCGGCTTGGGCTTCAAGCTTTATTTCTACAACCGACGCATTTTGTGCGCTCGTGTAGTCACTGCCTAAGGCTGGGACCACACGAACGCATGAAGTACGGCCGTTGCAACGAACGTATTTTATGACGGACGTTGCTGAGGACACCACACAGTTGCAGAATGCGGTGCGTAGTTTTTTATCTGCAATGGAGCCAGAAGAAAGCGTAGCATTGGCCACTCTTGTTTATTTCTACAAAGGACGTCACGACGTTCGTTACAACGGACGCATTTTGTGCGCTCTTGTAGACACTGCCTTATGCTGGGGCCACAGGTGCGCACGAAGTACGTCCGTTGCAACGAACGTACTTTTATGATGGACGTTGCTGAGGACACCACACAGTTGCAGATTGCGGTGCGTAGTTTTTTGTCTGTAATGGAGCCGTAAGAAAGCGTAGCATTGGCCACTCTTGTTTATTTCTACAACGGACTTCACGAAGATCGTAACAACGGACGCATTTTGTGCGCTCGTGTTGGCGCTGCCTAAGGCTGGGGACACACGAGCGCATGAAGTACGTTCGTTGCAACGAACGTATTTTATGACGGCCGTTGCTGAGGACACCACACAGCTGCAGAAAGCGTTGCGTAGTTTTTGTCTGCAATGGAGCCAGAAGAAAGCGTAGCATTCGCCACTCTCGTTTATTTCTACAACGGACGCCACGACGTTCGTTACAACGGACGCATTTTGTGCGCTCGTGAAGACGCTGCCTAACATGTGTTGATGGAGTTGAGCTTAATTAGGCGCATTGGCAGCCTTTTAACTACCATCATGTTTTGGGTACCTCACCGCCCTCAGTGAGCCTATTGTCTAGGAAATGTGGGAACCTCGACGTCTCACAAGCCTATGGGAGTCCGTGTCCTGTTACAGGGATAGCTTAACCATTACAATATCCTGGATATCAGGAACTGCTGTCACTTCTTGTTGTGAAATCGTCCGGACTGAAAGGGAACTATTTACAGTTCATTTAACGACACCGCCAGCAGCTCAGATCATGTGCTACACATTGTATTCACTGTGCCTTAAGGTAGTGTTCTCGGCTGGTGGTACGCGTACCACTGGTGGCAATTCACCGAGTTGCCTGGATGGGAAGTAAGTTCGTGACTGGCAGCGCCACAGCTCAAGCGGTTAGTCGCTGGCTTCCCACAGCGGCCGCCCGGGTTCGATCCCGGTTCTGGTTAAGTAGGATTTGTGGTGGACAAACTGGCGCTGGGGCGGGTTTTCTCCGAGTACTTCGGTTTCCCCTGCCGATCTTCATTCCACCAAATTCTCCATCGTCATAATCACCCGGGGCAGGCTACAATAGGCCAATCAGTGGCCGCCGTGCCGAGCGGACCCAGTTGGACTCCCCCCCCCACTAAACGACAAAATACTACCC